AGTATTATAATATATTATTATCATGTTTTCTTTCTTTCTTTTAAAAGATTTACTCTTGTATTCAAAAAGTCAAAAGGCTTTGTTGATCCTGTTATTCAAACAATTTACTGGCGTAGTAATAATATAAATTATGATTCTTTTACGTAGATTTAAGTGATATTAGTAGAATCTAAAACTAGATTTAAATAAAATATTGTACTGGGATTTTGGATGATGAAGTAAAATTTCCTACATTTTCTTTAATTGGTATAATTTTTACATTTAATTCTTAAATTTTAACCCCTGCGGTGATTGAATTTACACAAATATGCTGAACATAGTCAATTTAACTGCAGAAAAATGGATAAAATGGGCTAACTTAGCATAAAAATTTACATATATAAAAATCACTCATATTCCATCCACTACTAACAAAACAGGAATTAACGTAGCTAAACAAAAAAAATCCATCACTAATCCTATTTAACAATGGATTTTTCGAAAAAATTTCAATAGCTACGAGCGTATTGCTAATTTTTCAATTTTGTTAGTGATCTCTTGACTTAATGTTGTACCTGATGTCGCTAAAGAATAATAAATACAATGAGAATCATATATAGACTTTGTTTCAATAATTTTGGAATTAATAATAATTCCATTATTTCACAGCATTTCTTCCTTGCTGGAAACCCAAATCCCAGAGGACAAAGTGGAAGCAGGTACGAAGAAGAAATCCGAGGCCGAAGAGAACAAGAACAAGGTGAACAACAACAACAACGTCGTCAAACCGGCAACCTTTTTGACGGCTTTGACCAAAATCTCCTCGCCGATGTTTTCAACGTTGACCCCGAATTAGTCAGGAACTTACAGGGCAGAGAGGATCAAAGGGGCCGAATTATTCGGGTCGAGAGGTTCGATGTTTTAAGCCCAGAATTTGAAGAAAGAGAAGAACAGAGGCCCAGCAGAGAACGTGAGGGAAGAGGAGGATCACAGCCCAATGGGCTTGAGGAAACTATTTGTACCATGAGGCTTGGAGAGAACTTGGGCCGCCCATCTCGTGCTGACGTGTACAATCCACGTGGCGGACGTATTAGCACCCTCAACAGCCATAAGCTTCCAATTCTCAACTGGCTTCAGCTCAGTGCTGAAAGAGGAGTCCTTTACCAGGCAAGTCAATTTTTTTTCACAAAAATACTATTAGCAGTTAGACCTATACGTCACACTTCAAGTGGAAGCAGCCACTAATAACAACAAATCAAGATATTTTGTGTTAATTCTTCTTTTAGGGTCAATTACATATTAATTCAATTTTTCTAAGTAAATCGTACAAGACAGGTTTGTCACCCCTAATCGTGCCACATTTGAGTTTTGCAGAACGCAGTAATGGCACCATACTGGAACATGAACGCACACAGCATCCTCTACATTCTCCGAGGAAGCGGTCGGATTCAGGTAGTCGGCGACACCGGAAACTCCGTATTCAACGACCAAGTCAGAGAAGGTCAAATGCTCATAGTACCACAAAACTTTGCAGTAGTAAAAAGAGCAGGAAACCAAGGACTAGACTACATTGCATTCAAAACCAACGATCAAGCCATGACCAGCCCATTAGCCGGACGTTTATCGGCGATCCGAGCAATGCCGGAGGAAGTTCTGATGAACTCTTACCAGATATCAAGACAAGAAGCAAGAAGTTTGAAGTATAATAGAGAAGAAGCAACTGTTTTTGCTGGTAGAAGGTCAGGTGGATATTCAACTAGGGCATTTAACTATGCTTTAACTGCTGTTGAAGCTCTTTTAAAAGCTTAACTTTCTAATGCTGTTGAGGCTTTTGTGTAATGCTTAAGTTTAAATAGCTAATAAAATGTAAAGTTTATGAGAATAATGAGTTGACTAGTGGCTCTTAATAAATTGCATTATATGCCAAAAGCATGTGATGTTTGTTTTGAGTTAATACGAGATTTTAAATTTCTTTTATTTTTTCTCACTCGTTTTTTCGGTTTCATGAGAAAGAACCTCTCTATCTGGCCAAATTAGGTAAGGCAGATTATATATATTCATGTCAAGCAACAACGATGAAGCACATATCAGTTAACATGTGGAAAGAAAACTTTAGATATAGATGAATAATTCACTTGTGGAATTAAGAATAGGGAAAGAACAGAGCTATCTCATACTTGTGTTTTATGAAAATAAATCATTATAATATTACTACTTAATTCAAAGGGAGATACATTAGCACAAAATTAGCAAACATGGGGGCGAATGGGTTAATTGATTTATGTGGATTATTACAATTTCTTCTAGTTATAAGTCAAATCTCTCAAGAAATTTTTATTTATATTTGAACATAAATATAATTTTTTAAGCTTCTACGAAATCTGAAATACAAAATAGATGCAGTTGTCTTCCTTATTTTGGGTATTTTGGGCTGCAGTGGACCATGAGTTGTTGCGCGTAATTCAGCAGGTCAATTTATCTTCCTTATTAGGTCAATTTATGTGAAGCAGGGGCGGATGCAGAGCATAGAGATTGGGTTCATCGGAATCCAATAGCTTTTGTTTATACCTTATATATGTACTTAGAAATTTATTAAATATCTATAAATATCATATTGAGAACCCATAAATTGTTGTATATCAAGTTGAGATTGTTGTAGGAATTCATTAACTTTAAATCATCGATCCGCCTCTATAGTGGAGCAGGGTTGTTGTGCTTAATTTAGCAGGTCAATTTGTAGCTGCAACTTCTTAGGTTTTTTGAGATTGTATTAATGATAGGCATGCTAAAATTATAGGTTTACATTTTGCCTTCGTCTGGTTGATTCAACATTTTAATGGCTTGGGTATAATTGAATATGATGCCCAAGAAATTGTGTTTTCTTGCAACACTCAAGTGAAGAATTTTGCAGAGTTTGGAGTGTTTTTAGATGATGATTGGTTTTTGGTAAGGAAAAATCCTGAGATTTCTTTGGTTTAGGTTAAGAAACAAGCAAATTTAGTTGATTATTACCTGGCAAGAGAGTTTAGAATATATGATAGTTCTTTCTATTGGAATTACGCTCATAGTTTTATTGTAAACTTGCTGGTTGCTTAATTAATCTACTAAAAATTTGAATTAAAAAAAATGTATAGAAAAGAGAATACTCCGTTGAGAAAATTGGGGGATTTGTATCTATACTCGTTTTTTTGGGACACGTTTTAACTTGTGTCCGCTTTGCAAAAAAAATTACAAACATACCCATTTTTTCGCATAACTTCAACATACGGGGCTGAAGTAGCAAAGCCAATCACGCAAAACTTCAAAATTCTAGTAGACGGGTCTGAAGTAGCAAGTGTGCTAAACCAAGTGTGCTGAAGTTTTTGTTTGTAATTGCTGAACTTAAGCAAAGTAGATGAAATTTTTTTCTCTATTTGCTGAAGTTTTTGTTTGTAATTGCACTAAATAAGCTGAAATTTTTTTTGTCATGGATTCATTAGTTTTGTCATTAAGCTTTTTCAAAAACTTCAGCAGAAGATGCTAAAGTTATTTAGTTCATTTATAAAAACTTTAGCACTAAATAAGCTGAAGTTTTTTTTGTCCTGGATAAGCTTTTTCAAAAACTTCACCAGAAGATGCTGAAGTTATTTAGTTCATTTGTAAAAAGTTCAGCACTAAAAGCTGAAGTTTTTTTGTCGTGGATTCATTGGTTTTGTCATAAAGCTTTTTCAAAAACTTCAGCAGAAGATGCTGAAGTTATTTAGTTCATTTGTAAAAAGTTCAGCACTAAAAGCTGAAGTTTTTTTGTCGTGGATTCATTGGTTTTGTCATAAAGCTTTTTCAAAAACTTCAGCAGAAGATGCTGAAGTTATTTAGTTCATTTGTAAAAAGTTCAGCACTAAAAGCTGAAGTTTTTTTGTCGTGGATTCATTGGTTTTGTCATAAAGCTTTTTCAAAAACTTCAGCAGAAGATGCTGAAGTTATTTAGTTCATTTGTAAAAACTTCAGAACTATATAAGCTGAAGTTTTTGAAAAAGCTTTCTAACATATTAGATAAGTAATCAGATTGCCAACAGTATCTAAATCATAAATTTTGGAAATAATAAACGTGAAAAGAACAGAATTATCATTGTCTACTAACTTACGTACGTGGAAATATTCATAAATTATTGTCTACTAACTAACGTAATTATTTATATTATATTTTTTTTAAATAATCTGATAAACATATTTATGGCAATCATCCTATGAATTGAAGTTTCATAGTAGCACCAACAACAACAGAAAGAAGAAGAAGAAGAGGAGGAGGAGGAGGAGGAGGAGGACGTAAAAAGTAGGTACAAATTAAAACATCTTAAAAAAATAGGTATAGATTAAATGAGGTGACCAAATAAGGCGCCCCGTCTAATTTTTACATAAAATTGTAATGATGGGGCCAAAAGAGTCTCCAGAAGCTTGTAAAGGTGGGTCCACTGGGCCTACGCTTATATGGATTGAGCTGTAAAGAGAGGTTAGTGTGAGTTAAGGGCCTCAAAACCAGACTAGCAAATTGTACGATTCTTATCTTTACAAGTTGGATTTAGCCTTTGTCGCTCCCTCTTTTTCTTCTCGCGAAACATTTTGGGATAGCTCTTTTCCTTTTGAGAATGGGTAAGGGATTTGAAGAGTCGCCACCTAACGGATTAAGGTGAGTTAGGGAACCTAAAACAATTAACTCATATAACCAGTTACGTCGTCAGAGATCGAGTAAGATTAAGCAGCACTAATAATATCCTGAAAACTCCACTAATAACTCGAAATTTCATAGTGAATACTGACGATCCATAATCCCTATAACAAAATAATGAAATATGTACTAAAATGATCCCTATAAGGAGTGCAGATCTGCACTCCTTATATTTTGGAATTTCATAATTCCTATAACAAAATAACAAAATATATAACTTGTTTTAATGATGACATAAGCGAGAGAACAAATAAAAGGTCATAAAAAATAAAATAATGAATCATTACTATAATCTCCAATTCTAGGTATCAGATGATAATGCAAATTCGAACCACTTGCAAAAATATAGTTTTTGCTTCTCATGACGATAAGAAGTACAAAGCTACCAAACTCGGGCGTGATTTCAAGGCAAGGGTGTGAGAAACATAAGTAAAGACGTACGTATAAGTCTCGAGGCATGGGCATAACTCCCATCATGGAACTTAAATTTTTAATAATTTATAATCAACAAAATATTAAAATACTGAAATTTTCAAACTAAGTAGGCAACTTAAGAAAGCAAATATTAGTCATTGCAAAGTACCTCATTTTTTAATGTTACCTACTATTCCCATGATAAAGTTTTCACAGTCTCTTCACCGTAAATAGTCTCTTCTCTATTTCTCTGCCTTCCTATGATAAATCAGAAATCAGATACACCAACAACCTTTAATCGTCAACTTCTCTTCCTTCAATGACGAATCACAATAATTGTTACAACTTACAACCTTTAAGATTCGGTGAAGCAACAATATAATAAACACTATCCTCTGTGAAGCTTCTATCTACAATGAAGAGGAAACGACTAATAATTAGGTCAAGTTTGTATTTAGGAGATCTACGTATGAACATAAAATCGTAATGGTGAAAAGGAAAAAATAACTACAGATTGAAAAGGAATTATATGTGCAATGGAGAGGTTTAGGAACGTGGAGAGCAACCTTCGTAGCCATTTCATGGAAGCTTCTTCATCAGAATTTGTGACTGTGATCTGATCTCCTCTACTCATGACTAATGTTTATTTCAAGCATGAATAGATTGACTTTATGAATGAATATATAGAGGGGAGGCTAAGACCTGAGAGAGTATAAATAAATAATCTTAAAGGTTGTAACGGTAAAAGGCACGAGTGTTTAGCTGTATAGTTTTTCTTCATAGTTAAGGAATTTGAAACGTTGCAATGTAATAGTAGTTGAATATTAAATTCTATTTGTAACTACCTGAATTAATTATTTTTTTAACCATGAAAAATGAAGTAAAATATCAAAAAAATTGACAAAAAAGATAAATAGCATTGCTGGCCAAAGAGATGTACCACCTCACTCCTTTATGTCTCTCCTTTATATATATAGGGAGAGAGATTAGAGACAATCCCTTTTCGTCCTCTCTCTCCCTTATGTAATAAAAAGAATTGAAAAAAAATTGTCCATCGGGGGACTTGGGAGAACAATAATAGAGAAACAATTCCAATAGATAGTAAAATGCGTGTATAACAGCAACAACAAACCTAATGAATTTTTACAAGTGAAGTCTGAGGAGTAAAGTGTATATGCAGACCATACCCCTATTCTGAAAAGTAGAAAAATTATTTTCGACAGACGATCGATTATTCTATCACAGGCATGAAAGAGCATTACTTCATTAGTCTGCCACCAAAGAAATCCACTACAACTTTCTAATCAAATCTACACTTTACTTCATTTTTTTCTTTTTATTTTAAATTTTCACAATAAATTGAGCACAAACTTAAGACTCAAGATTTCTGCCGCCATAGACTTCAAATACTGAACCGAAAGTTAGATATACCTAAACATAAAAAAAGACCTTTTAATTCTTATACATAGGTTTCCAGTCTAATCTTTGATCCCTTTCTTACAAAAAAGCCAAAAAAGATGATAAAAGAAATCATGTGAAGAAAAGAATGAGTCACAACCAAAAGGTTCAAGGAACCAATCCAGCCTAACATTTCTGTTATACACCTTACACACACACACACCCCTCCAAATAAAATCCACTCTTCACCTTCTCTTCCTCTCAATCTAGCCTCTTCTTCTTTAAAAAACAGCAATATTTCCTCTCGTAACACAAAATTGAATGTCAAATTTCAACTTAGGTAAGAAGCTTCTACCCACTAAAAAAGCATGGAAGAGCTTCACCAACAAATTACAATCAAGATTACACAAGCTCAAGCTTTCAAAAGCTGTCAAAAATTCCAAAGACATTTGTATTAGAGCTTACAATTACATTTTTCCTATTATTACTCGTAAATTCTACTCCTTAATCTATCGTTCTTCACCCCTACGTACTCGTCGCAATTTTTACCATTACTACCAATACCAACAACGTCACAAAAATACTTCGCTTATATATGTGGACCAGCTCTTCCCTGAACCTATGCAAAAGCAAAGTTGTACAATATCTGCGCCTCAGACTAAAGAATTTGTTGCGTCAAGTAGTGGTGGTGATGTTAATAGAAGTAAATTGGATCGAGAAGAGCAAGAGATTATTATGAGGGCAATTGAGGGAAAAACTGCAATAAAAAAACGTAAGGGAGTTGAAAGTATTAGTAGTAGAATATGTGATATTGAAGAATGGAGAACTCCTTCAATGCCACATATTAATGGAGTGGATAGAAAAGCTGAGGAATTTATCTCTAAGTTTCGTGAAGATATGGAGATTGAAAGACAACAATCAATTCTTGATTTTCAAGAAATGTTGGCTCGAGGTGTTTAAATAGAATAAATTTATTAATTTTTTTTATTGTAACTATTATTTTGTTTTTCCGGTCAATTCCTTATTTCCCAATTTTTGAAGAGGGGAGAAAGGAGTTGAAGTGATTATTACATTGATTTGGTGTGACTAGAGTATTTATACAGGATAGGAAACTTATGTTGTGTGGAACTTGTTTTTATTTTTATTTTTAATTTCAAGAATTGTATTTTTGGGTGTTATGATCAATAAATGAATATGATAGACTTATATTGGTTTAATTTTCTAACTTTCAGAAATAAATAGTAGCAGTTTTCTTTCATTAGATTCGAACATGTTATTCTGAAATGGGAATCTCTATATGCACAGCTAAAAAGCCTATATAGAGTTGTTTTACTATTTATTTTTCCCCCTCTTTGATTTCTTCTTTGACCCAAGTAAAATAGCTACTAAAAGGCTACCAAACTAGAGCTGCTTGATTTAAGTTAAATTTCTTCATTTGTACCAAATCCAGAGTGCTTGCAGTTGCAGAATCATTAAATCAAACGTTGTTACACAAGTTATTATCAACAACAACAAAAAACCAGAGTGTGATTTCATGAGTGAAGTCTGGAAAGGGTAGTATATGAGTCCAAATTTGGATGACCACGGCTATTGACGAATACGACAAACGACAAAATCTTCATAGCTCGACATCCTGTGGAGGATGATAGACGGCGAACAGAGGACGTATGACTTTTACAATAGTATAGGCCCAATAGGGGGCACTAGGAATATACCTTCGAATATTCCTTATGATATGTCTTTTAGGGTTTAGAAGGGGTTTGTCCCTTATATATAGCGGGAAAACAACCTTGTTAAGAGGGCTTTTGGATTTTTTAGCTAAGAACACTGACTGTAATACTTTTCTACATAAAAGATTTGCATTCTTAACATTCAATTACTCATTTTCGCAAGATCAAGAAATATTATCCACTGTGTTCATCTTTTATACCTTTTGTTCTAGAGTTTATTATACTTAGCTAAGATTTACCTCTTCATTCTCTTTAATTGATTTATTCAAAAAGGTTCCAATATCTTTTGAGTCAAACAATGGCAATAGTAGATAATTACCTCTTTTTAGCCTCGCAAAGACCAACAATGGCAGGAAAGAGGGAAGCAAGATTAAAGGCAATAGTAGGTGTCACGAACTACCTTCTGGATTCCATCAATGAAGCCGGCAGGGAAGACAATGAAAATGCGACGCCAAGCACTATACCTGAGGGAGATACCTCCCCCCCCCCCCCCCCCGCACAAAAGCGTGACTGTCTCGCGCGAGAGGGAAACCTCAACATCCGCAGCAAGAGAAGCACCACCGGCTGTGAAAAGGCTATTAGAACAATGGTTGACAAACACCTTGAGAAGCATACTCGATAAACCCGTTCAAAGGGATATCGGAGGCACAATACACTCAGAAACCGCAACTATCGCCGATGAGCCAAAAACTCCACGCACAGGTAACACTCATACTATCATTGATGTAGGTAACAATTCATTTGCAACCATCTTAAGGAAAATGGAGGAAATGAAAAACAAGAACAAAATGCTCCGTGATCAGATGAAGGAGCATCAGGAAAGGGTCGATAAAATATCGGGCGCTCCAAAGTTGCTAACGAAACGTGACGTAGGCCGATTCATCGAGCAACCATACAGTGAAGGGGCAACCCCCCACTCTATTCCAAAAACCTTCAAAATGCTGCCATACTTGAAAATATATGATGGTACCACGGACCCGGAAGATCACATAACCCACTACGTCACGACAGTAAAAGGCAACGATCTGTCAAAAGAACATGTGTCATTGGTGCTGCTGAAAAAGTTTGGCGAAACCTTGACAGGGGGAGTACTGACATGGTATTCCCAACTACCGGCACGATCAATATCAACATTCGAAGAAATGGAAGATAAATTCGTCATCGCTCACGCGGGAGCAAAAAAGGCAGAAGCTAGGGTAAATGACATCTTCGCCGTTAGGCAGACGACATGCGAAGGACTGCAGGATTTTCTAGCCTGATTCAACAAGGTAAGAATGAGTCTAACGAACGTATCAGAGGGGATGGCGGTAGTAGCCTTCCAAAATGGGTTAAATAGAAATGGGTCGAAAGCGACCAAAAAATTGCTAAGTAGACTCATGAAGTACCCTCCCACCACGTAGGAAGAAATCCATAATGCCTATTGTGCCGAAGTAAGGGCAGACGAGGACGACTTAAATGGTCCGATCCACTTGCTAACATCGGTCCAAACTGAAAAAATGAGAGATCGCCGCAACGGTGGTCGAAGGGATCAACTATCCCGTTTCAATCAAGAAAGGCATCAGCCCTACATCCGGACATCCATCCCACCTCCTCCACGATATGCAGACGTCACGCCTCGACACACCGTGCCACATCGAAACGAAAGAGGTATGCCTCCACTGTTATCTACGCATAACTTTTGTGTTTCTTCTTCAGAAATAGTGTATGCACTAGAAATGCTCGGCACAAAGGTGCAGTGGCCGCAAAAGATGAAGTCAGATTCGAGTACCCGGAGATCGAACGTTCTGTGTGAATTACATCAGGAAAGAGGACATAAGAGCGAAGACTGCATAGGTCTGCGAGAGGAAGTGGTAAGAATGCTAAACCAGGGACACCTGAAAGAACTGCTGAGCGATCGAGGACGGGTTAACCTCGCTCGTGGACGCGATCAACCTCAAGGACCCCCAAAACCACCTTCACCAGCGCGTACCATACAAATGATCATTGGCGGAGATGATGATACGGTAATCAACCATGTGAAATTCACCACCACACACAAACTCAAGCGGATAGTCGCTCACGAACAGTACGATGACCACGAAGATAGTATCATCTTCGGTAATTTAGATACCAATGGTTTTTCTTTCCCTCAATATGATGCTTTGGTTATAACTTTACGTATTATGGATACCGATGTAAAAAGAATAATGGTAGATGCCAGAAGTAGCGTGTGTATTATTCACCCACAAGTCCTCATACAGATGAGACTCAAGGATAAGATAGTACCGTACTACATTACACAACGGGTTTTAATAATGCAGTGGAACGAACCTCTGGAAAGATAGTGCTGCCCATTCTGGCAGGATGAGTCACTCTGGAAACAACGTTTCACGTCATGAACCAGGAAAAAACCTACAACACTATCATAGGGCGTCCATGGATACACGTCATGCGAGCCGTCCCGTCAAGTTTCTATCAAGTAATCAAATTTCCTACCCCATGGGGAATATTCAGCATCCGGGGCGAGCAACGCACCGTCGAGGAATGCTACCCATTCGCCCAAGATTGCATACACACCCAACAACTAAAGGGGGCAAGTGCGGAAGCATAGCAATCACCCATATCGGGAACCAAACCCGACATACAAATAGAGGCCATCAAAGACTCATATATTGTAGAAGCCTGCAAGGCAACCGTAGAAGACCTCTACCCGTTCAATTAGACAACATCGACAATATGAAAAAAGCTTATATCGGACATAACCTCTCAGAACTAGGTAAGTTCCATGAGTTCTTAGCTAACAATGCCTATTTGTTTGCCTTTTCCCATTCAGATATGCCGGGAATCCCAAGGGATATCGCCACACATAGGCTGAATGTAAATCCTCTTTACCTGCTAGTGCGGCAAATGAGGAGAAAGTTCAATGTCGCAATCAACAATGCAGTCAGCGAAGAAGTTGATAAGTTGCTCGCTAATGGTTCCGTCCGAGAATCAAAATATCCTCAGTAGGTCACCAATGTGGTCATGTTAAAAAAAAGAACGGGAAGTGGCAGATGTGTGTCGACTTCTCCGACCTGAACAAAGCATGCCCAAAAGATTCCTTTCCGTTACCATATATCGACCAGCTCATCGATGCACCGGCGGGGCACGGACTATTAAGCTTCTTAGACGCTTATTCTGGTTACAACTAAATTCTAATGGTAGAAGAAGACCAAGAAAAGACCACTTTTATCACTCACCAAGGAACGTACTGCTATAGAGTCATGTCGTTCGGACTCAAGAACGTAGGGGCGACGTACCGAAGGTTATTCACCAAAATGTTCAAAGAACAACTTGGAAAGACTATAGAGGTCTACATCAATGACATGCTAGTGAAATCGAAAAGGAAGGACGATCACAATGGCTATCTAAAGGAAGCCTTCGAAATACTGAGGCGATACGGAATGAAACTGAATCCCAATAAATGCGCCTTTGGCGTAATCTCAATTAAATTCCTCAGTTTTTTGGTGTCGCAGAGGGGTATCAAGGTCAACCCGGATCAGATCAAGGCCATTGAAGGAATACCGGAGACATTAACTAGTAAAAAGCAGGTACATAAATTGACATGACGAATAACCGCTCTGTCAAGGTTCATCTCACGATCATCAGACAGGTGCCATAAATTTTTTCAATGTACTAAGGAGGGATCACGGGCTATAGTAGAATTCAGAATGAGTTGATGCCTTAAGAAAACTAAAAGCATACCTGTCCTCGCCACCATTACTCGTCAAGGAAGACTTGGGCGAATGCCTCCTGGTGTACCTAGCAGTCCTAGATGTTGCGGTAAGTGCAGTTTTGGTCTGCGAAAACAAAGGTACACAGTCTCCAATTTATTATATCAGTAAAACCTTAATTGATGCCGAAACAAGGTACCTCTACCTTGAGAAATTAGCTATGGCATTAGTCGTAGCTTCACGAAAGCTTAGACTACATTTTCAATGTCACCCCATAAAGGTGGTGACGACCTTCCCTCTCAGGGGCATCCTACATAAACCCGAGCTATCGGGTAGGTTGGTCAAATGGGCCATAGAGTTAAGCGAGCATGATATAACATATCGAACATGAACTTCTATTAAGTGGAAAGTGCTTGCCGATTTTGTCGCCGATTTTAGCACGAAAATATTGCCTGAAATAGAGTAGGAGGCGCTTCGCACCTCCGCACATTCCGACCTTTGGGTCCTCCACACCGATGGCGCATCAAATGCATTGGGATTAGGACTGGGACTCATCCTCGAAGTCCCTACGGTTTAAGTAATTCGCCAATCCATACGATGCCCCGAGATGACTAACAACGAGGCCGAGTATGAAGCTGTGATTGTAGGATTGAAATTAGCCCTCAAATATGGCGCTCGATGAATCGTTCTCCATTGCGACTCTCAACTCGTGATGAACCAAGTCACTAGGAGTTTCCAAATCAAAGAACAGAGACTACAAAAGTACCAATCGGAAATTCACAAACTACTACCAGA